CTGCACGTCTCACCGATGCAGTTAACGCCCGTGTAATCCAGGTTGTATCCAAAGGGGCATTCGCAGCGGAAAGAGCCGTCTGTGTTGATGCAGATGCCGTTCTGGCAGATGCCCGGGTTATCCAGACACTCGTTCAAATCTGCAGAGAAGGACAGAGCGTTAACCCCTCGAAGCCTCTCGCCACGCTTCTTCAAATCAAAGCGCTTCGCTCGGTGTTGCGGCGCTCACCTTCACGAGCGTCGCCCAGTCCAGGCAGGGCTCCGTGGCCGTAGGGACACAGAGTGTTAAAGGCAGCTGGAGACACATCATAAAAGAAGTTTAATATTTGCAGCATGCTACTGTGTGTGTTCGAACAGCTTAATTATGACTCTGTCGCACAAACCGTCGGTTTCTCGCGGGCACAGCTCGCAGGGCAGTCCCCAGCCCTCTCCGGGCATCTTGCTGCAGCAGCACTTGGCCTTGGTGGTGTTGAAGGCTTTGGGGACCGAGCACTTGCCTGCCTCGAATTTGGTGAAGCAGAAGCTCTCTCTGGTATCTGGCAAAGCGGAAATAAAGAGTCAGCTTTGTTTTCAAAGACGTGCCTCGACTGTACTCGCCAGCGTCTCTCACCGTAGCAGCGCCGTTTGTTGTCAGAGAGCACGAAGCCCGGCTGGCACGAGCACTGGAAGCTGCCCGGGGTGTTGGTGCAGGTCCCGAACTGGCAGAGGCTGAGATCCACACACTCATCGATATCTTGGAGGCGAGCATAAAAGAGCGTGTGTGCATGACTGTCTGTGACTCCCTGATGTTTAAGCGGACTCTGCGTGTCTTACCTATGCACTGGTCATTTTGCACCTCGTAGCCGGGAGGACAGATGCATCTGAAGGATCCGTCCAGGTTCTGACAGGTTCCCGGGGAGCAGGTGCCCGGCAGACTCACACACTCATTGATATCTGTGAAAACAGGTGTGTCAAACATGCTGCCACAGCTTCACCTCAGCTTTTCCAAACATACAGTAGCAGTATTAGTATTTCAGTCAGAATGATCAGCCTCCTCTGATGCCGACAGGCCTTTTAGCTGGATAATAGCTCACTCGTCTCCTGAGCGATCAGAGCCGCTCTTCTTTGGAGAATCTCTCGAGCTCTTCCTCGTTTGATGGTCCTCAGACGTGGACCTTGGTCTTCAGTTCATCCCACAGACTTTCAGTTACGTCACACCTTTGTTCAGACCACTCGTTATTCTTCACTTTGGTCTTCTGGAAGTAGATCTTCACCAGGAGCGACGGAT